ACGTGGCTGATGTGTTTAATGAGAGTTTCCTACAGGGTTAAATGGGGGGAATGAGGTAGGGGGAGGGGGCAGGAGACTGCAGGACAGTGCGGGAGGGGTCATTGCCTAGTAACCAGGCCACTGAAGGTGAGCAGACAGCAGGTGTTGGCAAGGTGAAAGGGTCGCAGAGGGAGGGGTTAAGTCATCTAATTGTGGAATGTTTCCTTCTTGCCATCAGCTATTTCCTGTGAGCCCAAGTTCTATTCATTAGGAAGCTGGGGAGGGGACGGACCATTCTTAAAAAAAGACTGACAATATATGCAAGAGGTTCTAAATAACAACGATCGCTCTTGACAGTCACCACTGAGGGACAGGTAGCAACTGTCTTAGTCTAGGCCAGGCACTTCAGATAACACCTCTTTTCTTGGAGACTGGGTTTCATTCTTATAGCCTTGGCTGTCCTGGGACTCAATGTATAGACCATTTTTGTCAGGAACTTGCAGAGATCCACCTGCCTCTGTCTCTTGAGTGTTAGGATTAATTCTCTCTCTCTCTCTCTCCCTCTCTCGTTCGTTTTATTTTGTTTTTGTTTTTTGAGGAAGAGTTTCTCTGTGTAGACCAGGCTGGCCCCACACTCACAGAGATCCGCCTGCCTCGCACCCTGAGTGCGGAATTAAAGCTGGGAGGTCCTGTGGCCCAGCTTGCTTTGCTTTGCTGAGGGTCTAGAAATTCAAACCATGACTACTATCATTGAGCCACTTGCCCAGTGGATGACGTGTTACCCCTTCGACTTCCCACTTTACAAGGGAAAATGTGGTTCAAAGGCGAGGTTGGTGTTAAAGTGAGCTATGATGGGTGGTAAGGGAGACGGAGACAAGGGACAGGGAAAAGGGAACATAGGAAAGGGATAAAGGGCTGCCTCTGGTTAGAGGAGAGACAGATGTACATGGGAAGATGTCGGAAACCCCATGTTAGGATGAGGTGTTTAAATTTAATTGGGCATGCTAATTAGGTGAGCCGAGGGGGGCTTCTGATTGCTGGATATTGGTAGTTGGTCTCAGGAAGAAGTGGCCAAATAAGGAAACAGACCTTGGTGGCCAGCTTCAGGAATGTACTCTAATTTTTTTTTTTTTTTAGCAAGGCAGATGGTGAAGGGTATGGTCTGCCAGAGCCGCATGCTCCACTGAGTTAGTGCCTCTTTGGGAAGATCTCAAGTTCACCGCTGAAGTGCAACCAATCCTATCTCAAAAACAAAGAAACACTGGGTGGTGGTGGCGCACGCCTTTAATCCCAGCACTTGGGAGGCAGAGGCAGGTGGATTTCTGTGTGTTTGAGACCAGCCGGGGCTACAGAGTGAGTTCCAAGACAGCCTCCAAGACTATACAGAGAAATCCTGTCTGGAAAAGACAAAACAAATGAACCCAACCAAAAAACCCAGAAAGAAACAGGGGATGCAGTTCAGCTGGGAGAGTGCTTGGTGAGGACACATGAAGATCCCTGTTAGACCCTCAGCCACAGGGACACAGTGTGTGGGTGCCCATGAGGTGTCCAGGGAGGGATCATTGAGGGCAGTCTGGGTTACCAGAGACCCTGTATCGGAGCACTCACCCTCTCTCCCCCCCAAAATGAAAAATATGAGCTGGAGATGGAGAGAGGGAGGGAAGAAGGTAGGAAGGGAAAAAGAGATAGATGAGATGAGTTGGAGACACACTGAACACCTCTAAGGTTGGAAGTGTCACAGTCCCTCTTTAAATTTTGTTTACATTTATTTGATGTGTATGTTTTGCCTGCAATCTGGAAAGAGTGCCAAATCCCCTGGAGTTATGGATGGATATGAACTGAAGAACCAATCTGCTCCATCTTATAGCAAAGATAAACTAGGTTCATTCCTGTTTATGATTAAAACTCTGTTTCTTAAGGATTGGGCTATGTCCCACCTGTAACCTTAACTACTAATGGCTCTGTACTGCCTGTTCCAGGAAATGGCAACAATGTCTCTGTTTAAAAAGGTTATATACCACCACTTTGCAGCCATGTTTTTGTTTTTGTTTTTTTGTTTTGTTTTTTGAGGCAGGGTTTCTTTGTGTAGCCCTAGCTGTCCTGGAATTCACTCTGCAGACCAGGCTTACCCAGGGTTCAGGCAGGAGGCTTACAGCCAGTGGATTGGACTGACTTAAAAGGTCTGAGGGCAAAGGAATTAGTTCATACACACACTTCTCTCATAGTTCTTTGTTCTTTAAAAAAAAAAAAAAAAAAAAAAACGGTCTCTCCATCCCCTAAAGTTCTCTTCAAAAGTTTCTCTTGCCAGGGTGTTGGTGGCCCAGGCCTTTAATCCCAGCAACAAGGTTCAGCTCAGCTGTGCTCAGAGACCTTTAGTTAAGTTTTAGGCGCCCCATCTCTTCTCAGGGGGTGTGTCCTCCTTCCACCCCACCCCAGCTAGTCTAAGCTCCCACTGGCACAGAAACAGAGTGACACTGGACCCACCAGAGATGTCTCAAAGCTCTTTTCTAGATCAGCCCTTCCCAATCATGATTTACATCTTATAATTTTGGAGCTGCTAGGCATCAGAATGAATGCTTTGTGGGACTCCTACCATATTTCCAAGGCTAGCTGGCTGGAAGGGAGCCAAGTGAATGACATTTAGCCGGCATAATGCAAAGTCTAAAATGAGTCTGAAGAATCATTTTGCAAGTAGCAGATGTGGGAGGGACCCCTGGCTGGACAGGGATCAAGGGAAAAATGCACATGGCATTTTCAAGAGAATCACGCTGCTGCAACCTCAAATGACTCCCTGTGAATGCTACATTACTAGATATAGAATTTCTGGAAGACTAAGGGGAGAGTGCCTTGGACTTGGCCCTGTCAATCAATGTGGACTCCCATACGTCAAGAGGAACAATGACAAATTAGTGCATGCAAGTGAAGATGGCCTAGGTTAATGGAAAAACCACAGCACCTGCAAGCATTGGTTCCAGCTCCCTGAGAAACCAAGCTCGCTATAGTAAGCAAGTGACCGTGGGGAGGGGGAGGGGAAATGAAGAGAGGCGAGAAGCACCCTGAACGCTCAGTACTAGCAGAGGAGCCCCCTGAGGCTCACGCACCGCTTGTCAAGGCCTGGTGGTGGGATGGATGAGTGGGTGGAGCCATGGGAGGCTCTCTGAGAGGACCAGAGCTCAGTTCCTAGCACGCACATAAAGCGGCTCGCAGCCACCTGTAACTCCAGCTCCAGGAAGTTCACGTCGTCTTCTGGCCTCGAAGGGCACCCACTACACGTGTGTGCCTACCCCATGACACACACACACACACACACACACACACACACACACACACGTCTACACACCTGCCTGCCCACATATGCGCGCACACACATTAAAATCTTAAAATAATGAATTCTAGACTAATTAACATTTGTAGAGGCAGGAGGATGGCCACAAATGGGAGGCCAGTCTGGGCTACAGGACAAGACCCTGACTCAAGAGAAGAAATGTGAACGTTACCTTCATAGACACAATATTCCTTTCATCTAGAGATGCTGCAAATAAAAATGTTAAGACAGCTGTAAAGCATGGCCAAGCATATATGACCTTGAGTATGGCCTTGTCCCTTCCCACACAGTTTTGTAGGCCTCTCCTAAGAAACCCCAAGTAAGCCGCGCAGTGGTGCTGCACACCTTTAATCTTAGCACTCAGGAGGCAGAGGCAGGCGGATCTCTGTGAGTTAAGGTCAGCCTGGTCTACAGAGAGAGTTCCAGGGCAGCTCCAAAAGCTACAGAGAAACCCTGTTTGGGAAACAAACAAACAAACAAATAAAAACAAGACAAAATTAAAAAACAAGAAAACATCAATTTTGTTTTTGGTCCCTGGGCTTCATCAGAGCAACACTAACCCTAAACGGAGTAGTTGGGGAGAGTTGCTGGAGGCAGGCAGTCCAGGGAGCAGGTCCAAGCAGGAAGCGCAGTCAGGTGGCCAGGGAACATGCATGCAGGGTGTTGGTGCCCGAGCATAGCAGAAAGAGAGCAGAGACTTTTGCTTCCGAGCCGGTTGTGTGGGAGTCGTGTCTGGCGGTGGGGAGTTACTTTCTAGTCAGCACAGTCAAGTCTCTGAGGAGCCAGCTAAGTGACTTAGGTACTTTGGGAGTGTGGATGAGGGTGAGCTCGCCTCAAAGCTGCCATTGCTGCCTCCTTACATGCCTGACTCTCTGGGGCCTATTTTAAATAGAGCAGGACTAGAGTGTTTCCATGACAAGATTCTGGCAAAGGGTTATGGAGGAAGGCAGTGAGTCATCGCTGGGAACGCTTGAATTCGACTCTCCCAAAGCTGCTGCCCTGCCCTGCCCAATCCCAGGAGCCTGACATCCACTAGGGGAAGGTCTCCCACACCCATCCCTGCCCCCTTGGGTCTGGTTTGGGAACTGGAAGGCTTGACTCCGGCCTCAGCTCTGTCATGGAGGAACCGAGTGACTTGCCCACTCCTCATTCCTGGGGGCCTGTTTCCCAAAGGTACCAGAAATAAGGGACCTCGGACACCCGCTGTGAGGGCCCTGGTGATGAGGAGGGGCTAACCCCAGGACCAGTCCCTCTCTCCATCTCTACTGTGTAGACTTCACTTTTCTCATCAGGAACGTCTGCTCTTTGCAGGTTTCGGGTCCAGCAATCCATGTGCGATCCTGAGAGCTCCTGGAACCTCCTGCCTGCACCTCCAGCGCCTGGCCCTCGGCTGGCACGGTAGATAACTTAGCCGGGAACGACCCACTTTTTCATGCCCTTCACTGGACACACTGCCTCCTGCTCCTTGCGCCCTGGAGGGTGGAGGTGGCTGTTATCCTCAGCCCCAGGGCTAGCCAGCCACTTCTGGCCAGAAGCCTGGTTCTTCGCGGGTACTACCATGTGCTAGCGCCTCTCCCTCCCCGCCCCGGCCCCATTTGACTCAACTATGCGTTGCGCAGTGGGAAACTGGTTCTGGTTGTGGAAGGAGTCTGAGGAGCAGCCAGCTGTCCCGCTGCGTAGCTGGCGCGCCCTCTAGAGGCTACTCTGCTCGGGCTCTTGCTCCGCGGCAGGCAGGGCGGTCCTGAGACCCCATTGCCCAGCGCCACCGCCTGTAACCTCAAAGGTCTTTCTCACTCGGGTCTTCCAAGCAGGCGGCTCAGAGAGCTCCCTGTCTGTGGCTGCGCGCCCCGCCCCATTACCATGGAGACTGCTCGTACACAGTTTCCTTTTCCCTTCCACCCTGCCCCGAGGCCCCTCCGACGGGACTGGTGCCCGCTTAGGAGGGAGCCGGTCCTGCCCCGGCCTTCAGCGGGCGCCCATGAACATCAAGGCCCCAACGAGGCTGGCTGTGGGTAGAGTGAGGTTCTTCGGTCAACACCGTGGGGAGGTTAGCTCCCGGGCTCTCCCAGGCTGGGCGGGGTCTCTTTCTCTTTTTTTTTTCTTTTTTTCCGAGACAGGGTTTCTCTGTGTAGCTCTGGCTGTCCTGGAACTTGCTCTGTAGACCAGGCTGGTCTCGAACTCGGAGATCCGCCTGCCTCTGCCTCCCGAGTGTTGGGATTAAAGGTGCCACCAACGCCCGACGCTCTTTTTGGCTTTTGAGACAGGGTTTCATTATGTGGTTCTGGCTGTTCTGGAATTCGCTCTGCCTCCTGAGTGCCGGGATTCGGGCGTTCGTGCCAGCCTTTGCCTATTTGTAGACTAGGTCCCACCATGTAGCCGTTTAGCTGGAAACTGTTCACGTTAATCAGGCCTCAAGCTCACACGGATCTGTTTCGTCTTTTGAGGCATCCTTCCTGTCCTCTGCCTTTCCGGGTGCTAGGATCAACGGTATGCACCACTATGGTGGCCAGCTTGAATTCAATGCTTGCTATAGTCCATTTTGGACTTGTCAGTCTTCTTTTCCTTTTTCAAGACGGGTCTCTCCAGAACTTGCTTTGTAGACCAGGTTGGCTCTTCTTCGGTTGATTCAGAACTTGCTTTGGGACTTAGGTTCCCACGGCCCTGGCTGTGCAGTGGGACTCGCTCCCTGGTTCCTAGGCAGGTCAGCGGTGAGGGGACAGGGAGGGGACAGACACGGGGCCACTTTGGTGTGTACTTCCAGGTCAACTGCTCTGCTTTCTCCCCTGACGGCCGGACCCTGCTCACAGCCTCAGATGACGGCCATGTCTATGTATGGGAGACCAAGAGCAGGAGGCTGCTGTGGAGAATGGCCGGCCACAGAGGTGGGACTCGGGCACCTGGAGTCTAACTTGGTGACCTATGACTGGGGGGAGACCGCTGGAGCAAGTGTGGCAGGGGCTGTTGGCTAAGGTGCCACCAAACTCAAGGGACCAGATCTCCCACCCTAAGAGAGGGATTAAAGGCATGCACCATCATTGCCTGGCTCACATCTTTTCTTTTTAGTTTTTCAAGACAAGGTGTCTGTACTGTAGCCCTAGCTACCCTGGAACTAGTTCTGTAGACCAGGCTGGCCTCCACCTGCTCTGCCTCCCATGTGCTGGGATTAAAGGCGTGCACCACCACTGCCCAGCTTCAAATCCTATTTCTTAAGTCCTAGACGTGTAGTTCAGCAGTACATACACCACACTGATCCTCCAGAGCCTTCCTTTAACTGATCTATTTGACTTCATCTCATGTCCTTAAGTTCAAACTGTGTTCTTGGTCACAAAATTGTCACAGGATAGATAAACCTGTGCAGTCAAGGTATCTAACCTGTTAAAACCAGAAGGAATAATGGAACGGGTGACTAACACAAGCCAATTTAGACCAGAGAGCGAGAACCTAGGTGAACAGTGAGGCTGTCACTAGGAGGAGGGATATGGATTTGCTGGCTTCCCAGATGGGCAAACCACGTGGGCTCAGCTCAAGTCTTGCAGCAAGGACCACAGATGTGGGTTATGAAGGCAGGTAGGGCAACGCCACGGGTTCCCTGCCTCAGGCCCAGTGAAGTTCTGTCGCTTCTCCCCTGATGGCCGCCTCGTTGCCAGCTCTTCCTGCGACCGCACTGTCCGCCTATGGGATTTGGCACGCTTCAAGTGTCTACATGTGCTGAAAGGTAAGCAGGGGCGTGGGCAGGAGCCACTGGTCCCTTGCAGACTGTGTCCTGTCCTCCCTCCCACCTTTGGGCTGGTGTCTGCAGGTCATCAGCGGAGTGTGGAGACAGTCAGCTTCAGCCCTGACTCAAAGCAGCTGGCATCGGGTGGCTGGGACAGGAAGGTCATTCTCTGGGAGGTGCAGGTATGAGGATGGGGCGTGGGTCAGAGGTGACGTGCTCTCCTCAGTGGCTGCCTATTCCCCCGCAACAACCAGGTACCACTTGGCTGTGGCAGGCTTTCTGGGCCTCGCTGCATAGTGGTTTCCAGGCTGCATGCACTGCCTGTCCTTCCGGTGCCAAGGCCCAGGAAGCGCCCTTAGGCTAGGCCTGGTAAAGTGCCTCAGGCCTCTGGGCGGCCCGCCTCCACCTCCGCAGCTCACTCTCTCTACAGTCTGGCCATAATGTGCGCCCATTGATTGGGCACCGCGATTCCGTCCAGAGCAGTGACTTCTCCCCCACCGCCGACTCTCTGGTGAGCCTCACCCCCCACCACAGCCTGTAGGTGGCCACAGGAGTGGTAAGAGCCATTTCATACTCATGGTCGCTGCTCATAGGCCACTGGTTCCTGGGATTCTACTGTGCACATCTGGGACCTGCGGGTGGCAGCCCCAGTTACCTCCTACCAGGAATTGGAGGGCCACACTGGCAACATCAGCTGCTTGTGCTACTCAGCCTCTGGCCTCTTGGTAAGCCAAGCTGACTGGGGTTCCAGGCCAGTACCTATTTGCCCTGAGACCCTCAAGGGTGCAGGCCATTGTGGGGTCCACTGAACTCGGGGATGTCTCTTTAGGCATCTGGCTCCTGGGACAAGACCATCCGTATATGGAACCCCACAACCAACAGCCTGCTTTTCCAGCTTAAGGGCCATGCCACCTGGGTTAGAAGCCTAGCCTTTTCTCCTGATGAACTGAGGCTGGCCAGTGCCGGTTACTCCCGAATGGTAAGTCTGCTCAGATCCGAGGCGACCCCTCCTCAGCCTTACCATACTAGGTATGCCCATGGGCCCAGCTGTGTAGCAATGGCAAGACCTGAAGCCAAGCACAAAGGACCAGGCCGCCCTATGGTCAACCTATGAACTTTTCCCATCTCAGTGCCACAGGCTATGCCGGCACTTCAAACCTTTCCTGCACAAGAGCCCAGGCCACGGCCTGGGACTTGAGAGCACATGACAATTGCCACTCTACGTCCCATCTTCACATTCAGGTCAAAGTCTGGGACTGCAACACAGGAGAATGTCTGGAGACCCTAAAGGTAAGGTCAGTGCAGAGAAGCCTGCAGAGACCCAGGACTGGCAGGACTGCCAACCTGACTCTGATGCTGTGCACTGACAGGGCCTGCTGGATGTGGCCCATGCTTGTGTTTTCACCCCCGATGGCAAACTCTTAGTGTCAGGGGCTGCTGTGACAAGATGACAAGTCTGCTGCTCAAAGTCCCAAGAACCTCTTCCTCACAGCTTACCACAAGCCTAAAGCAACTAAGAACGTAGCCACCACATCTCGGCTGCACGCAGGGACTACCCTGTCACACAAGGCCGGCACCCAATGTAGATTAAGTGGTCATTACCCACCCCACCCCCTCCAGGTGGTCAGTGCAAACAAGAAGCAGAAAGTCAGTCAGTCTCGCGCTTTATTGCCGTCCCATCAGGCCTTGACCGCAAACTTGCGCAGCGGGTACAGCCTCTCCTTCCTCTGCTGCTTCTTGGTCTTCAGCTTCTCCTCGTGTTTGGTGAGCCGGCGGCGCATGGCTCTCGTCTTCTTGGGTCGCAGGTCCAGAGGCTTGTACTTCTTACCCTGGGACAGAGACCACAGAGTGAATCTGAGTACTAGGGACTACTGGGGAGATTCTGGGGCAGGAGAGCCCAATGGGCACCTCGAGTCTTTTAGCTAGAACCTGCCAATAAGGTACTAGAAAGCTGGCAAGCCTACTAATTAGTCAGATACCCTAATTTAAAGACTAGAGGGCTAGGGGGGCCAGGCTCACCTTTCCTAGTTATCAATCAACAGTAACTAAACCCATAACATAATCTAAAGCACACAAGATACACACTGGAGGCCGGGCGGTGCACTCGGGAGGCAGAGGCAGGCGGATCTCTGTGAGTTTAAGACCAGCCTGGTCTACCAAGCGAGTTCCAGGACAGGTTCCAAAACCACAGAGAAACCCTGTCTCGAAAAAGCAAAACCAATCAGCTGGAGGGTGGTGGTGCACATGGCAGGTAGGCAGGCAGATCTATGTGAGTCTTAGGCCAGTCAGGGTCACACACATAAACTGTCCTGGACTGCCCCCTCATCAAAGTGTTACTCATGCAGTTATGAGCATTGGCTGCTTTTCCAGAGGACTGAGGTTCAATTCCTAGCAACCACACAGACCATGGGTAGCGGGACTGGATGCTCTCTTCTATCATGTAGACAGACCACTCATACATATAGGACAGCCTCCAAAGCTACAGAGAAACCGTCTCGAAAAACCAAACAAAAAACCGTGGTCTACACAGAGAAACTAGGTCCCAAAAAGAATGTGTAATCAGGCTCTTTGAGTGGCTACTCCAAAGAAACAGGCATCACGAGGCCACATTTTCTTGCACTTAGTACCTGCAGGTGACAGAGGACCCCAGAAAGCTGTGTAGGATGGCATGGGGGCCCCAAGACACCTCAGGTAGCCTCATCCATGTTAAGTTCACTTAACCACTTAAGGAGGCTATGGCAATGCCCACACAGCAGGACTGCCCGTAGGCTCCAGACTACACTGGCCTACAAAGTGTGACAGAAAAATAAAACAAAACCCACACACAACCCCCAACCACACTTTCTGTGGCCTGGGGTAGCTCAGCACTGCCTTGCTCACTGGCCTGACATTTGAGACAGGGTTTCTCTGTGTAACAGCCCTAGTTATCTTGTATGTCAGGCTGGCCTTGAACTCAAGAGACCTGCTTGTCTCTGTCTCCTGAGTGCTGGGATTAAAATAGGTGTGTCCTGCAAAAGCCAGGCGTTGGTGGTGCACGCCTTTAATCCCAGCACTCGGAGGCCAGCCTGGTCTACAGATGGAGTTCCAGAACACCTCCAAAGCCACAGAGAAACCCTGTCTCGGAAAAAAAAAAAAAAAATGAAAACCTGCAACAACAAAAAGCCTACCTCTTTAGTCACAAATAAACTACATGCTGAAAAGCCACACGTGCCAGCAAATCACAGGGAAGCAGGTTCACATACTGGTTTCCAGATTCAGAAACAAAGGAACAGTTCAGACCCGTCCACACCAAAACCCCCACACACCATGCCAGCGTTCTGATTATGCCATACCCAAAATACTAATTTGGTGAAATTTGCAGAGGCAACTGACCGGCTCCAGGAGATGGCTTCAATTAAGGGAGATTACTTTAAAATGATGAGGCCCCCTTTAGAACAATCCCTTCTGGAGACCACAACCCTGGTCACATGAGTGAATTACTGTGCGACTCTGCTTCCTCGCTTTGCCTCTATACTAACACGAGAAACTGTTCGGAGCGCTCTGGGCCCACAGCCTACCTTCTGTGGGTGTCCCCGGGCAACCCAACCTCTCCAAGCCCTCCAAAAGGAGGTACTTGTCAGGTGAGACAGAAATAATGTGACAGCGAGAAATCACCTGAACAGCTAGAGGCCAGGGTCCCAGCTCCAACTCCCAGCAAAACAAGCCAATGACATCACACAGCATGCCGAGGAGGCTGGGCTCAAAGCGAGTGTTCAGCCAGACCCTTGCTCACCAGTGCCTTCTGGCACCAGCACCACATCAGTTAGGAAAGCTGGTATTGTGGAAACCCAACCACAGAATGGTGCTTTGGAGGGCACCCCCCTTCCGTGTGCCCCGGAACCTCTTCTCAACATCTGGCCAATGCTCACCTTGTAGAATTTCCTGAGGTTTTCTTTTTGAGTCTGGTTAATTACGGTGAGGACACGGGCAATGGATTTGCGGACGACTCGTCTATGAAAAATAAATGTCAGAATAGACCCGGAAGTGCCAACTCGTGTTGGTGCCCGCCCAAGTTCCCCCATCAATATTACGTGGGAGGCAAAGCCTTGGACTTGAGGACGGTTCCCCAGGGATATGCATGGAAACTTATTGCAGATAAGATAATGAGGAAAGTTCTTCTAATCCTGGCCTAGAGCTCACACCAAAGGCTAACTTAAGGAATCAGAAACCGGGAAACCCGGGGCTGGAGAGATGGCTCAGAGGTTAAGAGCACTGACTGCTCTTCCAGAGGTCCTGAGTTCAATTCCCAGCAACCACATGGTGGCTCACAACCATCTGTAATGAGATCTAGTGCCCTCTTCTGATGTGTACATGGAGGCAGGGTGTTGTATTCATAATAATTAAAAAAAAAAAAAGAAACCGGGAAACCCAACAGCTGTGGAGAGACAACACCGGAGCCAGGGACAGGTCTGGTCCGAGGACAAGGGCAGGTCTGTGACCGAACACGTGTCTGGAGGGCTCAGCAAGTAGCTTTGCTTAGGTGTTTGCTCATCAAGATTCTCTCTCGGGCAGAATACTGGTGGCATCCACTAAAGGACTCGCCATTCTCTGCGGCTCCTCCACTGTGTCTCCAGGCCCCACTACAACCCACGTAAGGGTCCAGGTGGGCGGCCGACCATGGACCTTCAACAACCCTGCATCCTTTGAACTTACGCTGGCCACTGGCGACTGGCGGGGAAAGGCGCAAGGGGCCAAGGCAGAGAAGGGTGTGCACCGAGCTAGGCCCTCACTTACATCTTGGAGAGTTTGGACGCGGCGCCGCCCGTCACCTTGGCGACGCGAAGCTGGGACAGCTCCACCTTCAGATCGTCCAGTTGCTTCAGCAGCTCCTCCTTCTTCTTGCCGCGCAGGTCCCGAGCCTTAATCTTGGCCTGTACGGGAGGGGACTCTGTGGGCCACCGCGCGGAAGCTCCCGCTCTCACCGCGGCCGGTCAAGGAGGGACCGTGCGCGGGGAGGGGACGCGGTCCGTGCCGGCCCGAGCCCGGGGCAAGCACACCGCGCCAGGGCGCAGGCCCCGGGCACCCCTTGCGTCCCCCACTCGCGCCCCGCGCCCCGCGCCGCTGCCTTCACGTGCTCCCCCGCCCGGATGGCAACCGATTCCCGAGCCCTCACCATAGCTGCGCTGCTCGCCGCTGAGACGTCCCGGTCCGAGAGAAAGAGGAAGAGGCGGGCCCGACTTCCGTAACTACTGCGGGGTGGCGCCGAGCACGGCCAATAGCGTCACGGCGAGGGAGGCCCGCCCGCCGGAGCGCTGGCGCGTCGGCGATCCCGCCCCTTCCGGGGACCCTGCCCCGCCTCCACGGCTGGCCTTTAAGCACTACGGCCGGGCAAACTGAGCCTGAGGCTGGCCTGTGCGTGGCTGGCGTGGCGCCGTGGTGGAGGCTGCAGCTCGTCCATTCAGTCGTTTATTCGAGAAGCCCGTCGTCCCCTGGCCTGTCCACCTCTGAGCTAGCCGTGTGTGGTCTGGAGGTGCGGAGGGCATGAGGCGTGAGGTTAATTCCTCAAAGCTTATTTGAGACTGGGTCTCTCCCTGTATGTCCCTAGCTGGCTGGGAACCTTCCCAAAGCTAAGGTTGTGGGTGATCGCGCTGGGGGGGCGGGGCTGAGAATTAGTCCGGTTTTTTGGGTCCTTCCAACATGTGGGTCTCGGTGGTCAGGTTCGGAACCATTTAGTAGTCAGTGCAGTTTTTTTTGGGGGGGGGTTGTCTTTTTGTTTCTGAATACAAGATCTCCATATATTTTCTGGGCTGATCTGAAACGTATGTTCCCCGGGCTGGCATTGAAAGTGTGCCACCACCTGGCAAGGGTAAGAATTTTCTACGCTGACAGCAGTCAGACCCCAGCAAGAACTGTTGGAGATCCTGTGGAATAGTAGAAATAGCAATCCCATAATTTTTGGATTTGCGATTATTGTTGTAGGTCTGGGTGCGTCGTCACAGTCCTGTGATTCCAGCACTCAGGCAGTAGAAAAGGAAGGTCTGGAGTTCAAGCCTCCCCCACTACATAGAGTGTTAGGTGTATTTATTATAGAGACCCTGTCTCAACAAGACTCCAAAACGGGGGCTGGGAGTTTGGTTCTGTGGTTGAGTGTTCACCTGGCATGCACAAGGCTATCGGTTTATTCCTCAAGCCTGAAATACAAATAAATAAGAATTCCAAAACGAAATCAGGTTCTTGCTTTATTGCTAGCTACTAGTTATCTTGGTACATCCATTCCCATCTTTGGTCGGTTCTCTTACCTGTGATGACATCTATCTTTGAGGATTACAGGAGCTAACCTGACAACCTGCAAAGCTTCCAGCCAAGACTTGATATGTAAAAATCGAATTAAGTGTCATTGATACGAACATGGCTAACGAGGCCACAGCTTTTCATCCCCCCAGTCCCCAACAGACCACCCCGGGGGGCATTAGGTTACAGCAACATAGACTTGATCTGCTAGGTTTCTGTAATAAAAGGCCATAGGGAGCAGTTGGAGCCTCCAGTTTCTCAATGTTCAGTACAGAACACTGACCAGAACAAACGGGGACCGGAAGGAGGGTTTTTAGTAGTCTTCCATCACTAAGACTAGCATCCTACCTTTGTACTCCAAATGTGTCCTACACCGCTTTTACATAACAGTTAAAGGATGTGTTCTTGTGCCTGTTCCAAAGCCAGTCTTGGAGGTCTCTGAGGGCAGAACCATGTTATTTGGTTTTGTGCTCTCCAGGCCCAGGTTGTGACTACTGGATGGATAGCTATATGAGCCTTGTTCCAGACCACTATGAAGTCAAAATATATGGAGAAATGAGTGAGTTAGTTTTGTTTTTTTGTTTTTTGTTTCTTTGGTTTTTCCAGACCAGGCTGGCCTCGAACTCACAGAGATCCGCCTGCCTCTGCCTCCCGAGTGCTGGGATTAAAGGCGTGCGCCACCGGTCTACAAAGGTGACCAAGAGAAAGGTCCACAGAGAAACCCTGTCTCGAAAAACCAAAAAAAAAAAAAAAAAAAAAAAAAAAAAGGCGTGTGCCACCAACGCCTGGCGAGTGAATTAGTTTAAATGGAATCCTAAAGGTAGAACTTCCTAGACGCTCAGGATTCTACTAGAGTTATGACTATGCATAATTTTCATGATGTTATAAGCCCCTCTCCCTGAGGGCCTCCAACTGCCAGGTTTCACACACAGAACATACAAACTGTCCTAACACCTGGATGCAGTCCCCACCCTACAGAGTAAAAAGCCCAAACTCTGGACGTGAAATCCCAACCCCGCCAATCCCCACCCTGAAAAGTTCTACCCCCACCCCCCACTCCCAGAAACTCTATGTAAGCCCTGTACCCTGTTAAGTTTGCTGCTGTAACTTGCCTGAGCAGATGCAGCCACCATCCTGGGGTTTTCCTGCCCAATAAGTCGTCTTGTGTGAGGCCTGTTGTGTGGTGTGACTATGTGATATTCCTTGGCTCCCGGCTGCCTGATACCTTTCCATTCAAGCTGAGCTATAACACATAACTAGGATTAAACCCAGGATCTACAATGTACTGGGTGAGTGCGCCACAATAGGCTACATCCTCAGACCTGCATCTTTGAAGTTATTAGACACTGCTTGTTTTATTACATGTCCCATCTAATTTACCAGCAAATCCTGTAGGCATTATCTTGAAAATGCCTAATATGTTCCCATCACCCCCCTTATTTTTAGCACCTTTCTGGCTTGAGCTACTATTGCCTACAGCCTACTCATAAATTAACTTTTTTAAAAAAATAAAGTCTTGCTATCTAATCTTGGCTGTCCTGGAAACTCATTATGTAGAGCAGGCTGGCCTTAAACTCAGAGAGATCCACCTGCCTCTGCCTCCCGAGTGCTGGGATTAAAGGCGTGCACCACTAACACCTGGCTACAATTTTAGTTCTTGTTCCCAGATTGATCAATTGATCTATCTTATCTATCTTTTTTTTTTTTTTTTTGAGACAGGTTTTCTTTGTAGCTTTGTAGCTTGTCTTAGAACTTGATCCATAGACCAGGCTGGCCTCTAACTCATAGAGATTTGCCTGCCTCTGCCTCCCAGATGCTAGAATTAAAGACATGCACCACCTGGCTAATGCACAAACTCTTGGTCCTCAGGATTGCAGGAGTGCACTACTAAGCCAGATCTCTATCATGGATTTAAAAGCCTATCTGATGAAAAGTCTATGAACATCAGCTAGAACATTACTTCATTCACATGATTGAGACCACTTCCCCGTTAAAACACTATTTCTGGTATTAAGTCCTTCTGACCAAGATTTTCTTGGAGAGGGACTGGTGAGATGGAGAATGGAACCAGGTTCCATTCTCAACCCCCTGTGACATGGTGGCTCTAAACCATATGTGTAATTACAGCTCTGAAGGATCTCATGCCCTCTGCTGTTCTCCATCAGGTACAACACCTATGTGGTGCACAGAAAAATTGGCAAGCAAAACACACATAAAAGTCAAATATTAAAACATATTGAAAGATGTTCTCTCAAGAACATCGTATAGGGCCGGAGAGATGGCTCAGAGGATAAGAACACTGGCTGCTTTACCAGAGGTCCTGAGTTCAATTCCCAGCAACCACATGGTGGCTCACAACCATCTATAATAAGATCTAGTGTCCTCTTCTGGCCTGAAGGGATACATTCAGGCAGAACACTATATAACTAATAAACAAAACAAAACATCTGTATAAGCTGGGAAGTGGCAGCGCACGCCTTTAGTCCCAGCACTCAGGAGGCAGAGGCAGGCAGATCTCTATGAGTTCCAGGCCAGCCTGGTCTACAGAGTGAGTTCCAGGCCAGACTCCAAAGCAATACAGAGAAATCCTGTCTCGAAAAACAAACAAACAAAAAATTTCCTCTAAAGAACATCTTTATAAGTTGGGAGCTGGTGGCACACGCCTTTAGTCCCAGCACTTGGAAGGCAGAGGCAGGAGGATCTGTGTGAGTTCGAGACCAGGACAGGTTCCAAAGCTACAGAGAAAGCCTGTCTCCAAAAACCAAGTTAAAAAAAAAGTCTTTATAATAGCAGATGTGAATTCCTGCAATTTTACGACCTGCCTGCACCCCAGATTTCTTCCTATGTATGGGGCAGGAATACAGGTAGTTTTGACTAAGGATCTGAGACTTTATTCAGCGTCTACTTGCCCCATGGAAGTCTGGCTTTAGCATCCCCGGTTATGCCTGCCTGGCAGTTTTTGATCTACAGACACAGTTCAATGGAAAGAAGGAAAGCAAAACCATGTTTCATCTACTGTTTTTGCACAAGAGTGCAATCAGATGAAAATGTAGCAAGTTTTCGTACAGTTTTGGAAAAGGTCCATTTTAGCCTACAGCTGAAATCAGGAGAAACCAGCATCCTAGCCACTGCCCTCTTCCCATCGGTTTCTGAACTCTGCTGCTTTCGCCTGCTAAAATGCGCCTCTTCAAGTCAGGGTTGGCCTTCAGGCATGCAGGTGCCCACGGAATCCTTTTTGCAGAGCACTCAAGTGAAGACGTCATCGGGCGTCCTGTCAGCCCCCAGGTTACACGTTAGTGCTTAGAGTCCTTCACCCCTGTAACAGGGAAGTCGCTGGCACTCGTTCCTCGGCTCTGGTTTCTTCCTCAGGAGCTGACGGAGGTGCCGCCCGTGGCCGCAGGCTGCTTGCCGCGAGGACGACACAGGAACCGCCGCGGGCCAGATGAAGCCACACAAGCACCCCACGATTCCGCGCCGCTGCCCCGCCCACACCAGCTTCCGGTTCCGACGGGTTCCGGAAGTGGGAGGGCGGCGGCTGCGCGTGGAGGAGGGCGGGCGGGGCCTGGCGGCCGCTTCCCGCCCCCGAGCGGAGCCGGTGCGGAGGGAGTGGAATCTAGCCGGCTGGGCGGCCGCCGAGCTCCCGCCATGGCCCGGAACACACTGTCCTCACGTTTCCGTCGGGTGGACATCGACGAGTTTGACGAGAACAAATTCGTGGACGAGCAGGAAGAGGCGGCGGCGGCGGCTGGCGAGCCAGGCCCCGACCCCGCCGAGGTGGACGGGCTCCTGCGGCAATATCCTTCCCGGCGAGGCCGCTCGGACTCGGCCTTCGCACCCTTCTTGCCCCCGCCCCCGCCCGGCTTCTACCCGCCCCGGGCTCCTCGGGTCCTTCGTCCCTGGCTTCTAGCCTTCCTCAGCGGCGCGGCCCTGGAGCTCGCTGAACTCCTCCGCCCGGCCGCGCTCCGCATCCCTCTGGGTGCCCAGGCGTGGGCCTTGGTCCCTCCGTCCCTCGTTGCAGG